GTCTGTCTCTCACCCTTGGAACCTGGAATAATACTGCTTTATGAAGGGACCCACCCTATGTAGCTGTCCCACTTTCATCTGTCCATGATCCCCCAGTGAAGACCCCAGCCAGTGAAGACTGCAGAGTTCTTCTCTCGGTCCCCCAGCCCCACTCCATCCCCAGCCCCGCCAGAAGACACAGCAGCCCCCAGTTGCACTAGGTGATTAATGACTTCCCTAGGCCTTGGGGCTATTTTGGGGCCTGGAAGTCATGCCTGCTATGATTGAGAGCTGGTCCTGCCGGGCTCCAGCCATCTGTCACTGGAGACAGGTCCAAGAAGGGGGCTTGAGGGACACAGGCTCCCCAAGAGACTTCCAAGCATGGCTCTGGCTTAGCCCCATCTCCCTGCCTTCCTGGGAACACATGGCAAGGAGAGGCCAGCCTATACTCCAGGGGCTCAAGAGGATACCATGGAGAGAGCCAGAGAACTACAGATCCCAGAATGCCATGGGGTGAGGCTGTTTTGGTCTCTCCAGGCCAGGTAGTGAGGTGATGCGAGGTTCTGTGGGCCTTGCCCAGGCAGCCTTAAGGAAACTCAAGTGGAAGTGTGTGTAAATCTCAGCAGTGCCATGATATGATATTCACAATCCACATGTCATAAACTCCACACATCCCACACCAAGGTACAAGCTTGTGAAGACTATACAACTAACTTAGTGTGACTCAGGAACCCCCTACCCAACTCTAAAGCGTAGAACCCCAGGCACATGCCATTTCAGTGTCATAGAATCCCAGTGATATGCAACCCCAAGCATGCACAGTTCCAGTAGTCACAACCCCAGTAATGTATAACCCGGTTCATACAAACTCCCAGGGATAGACAAAACGGTGACATACAGTCCTTATGCCACACAAGTCTATTCATCCCATCATTCATGAACTCACTAGCTGAGTTCATGTTGGTCCAGTCTCGCCTCAGCATTTTTTCCTTTTGGACGCTGACCCCAGTCATCTTAAGATCCCATTAAATTAAGCAATTCAATAAGCCCTTTCCCTGCTCCCCTGCAAGTTTCCTCCTTTTATCCCTTTACATCCACTTGCTTGAGGCCCCCTCCTCTGCCCTCAGTGAGAAGTCCTGCCTCATCCTCCACCATCGTGAAGGACCATGATGCCCCCTACCCTTTCCTCTTTGAAGACCCCTATCTTCCACCTTCTCTGTAGGAGACTCTATTCCTAGCTCTACTTTGTCAGGGATCTTGCCCTTTAAACGCTTTCCATTGAGGGATCCAGCTCCCTCCATCTCTGTGAAGGGCCCTTCCCTTTCCCACCTCTGTAAGGCTCTTATCCCACTTCACTCACTTTTTTTGAAGGGTCCAGGCCCTTCCTCCCTTCCTCCCTTCCTCATACCTGGCGACAGCGACCCAGTCACTAGCTGGTAGAGGGATCGTGCTGCTTGCCCCAACGGGCTCCGGCACCTGCGGGGGCATCGGTTCATGGTTCGGCTGAGAGTGCACTGGCCAAGCTCCTCCCCCAAGGCCTGGGGCAGTCAGGTCTCCGCCTCCACCCGAGTGGGCCCTGCGTGGGCGGCGCGGGAGGGCCGGACCCGCAGGACCAGAACCAGAATCTCGGACAACGGAGTCTTCTTCTGCTTCCTGTTTCCTCCGGGCCGCAGGAGGGGAACTTCCCCTATCCCCACCATCTGAAGCTCCCGTCCTCAAAGTTTCTAGACTGGGCGGGGCGGGGGTGGGGGTGGGGGTTGGAATGGGAGGAGTCCTCACAGCCAGCACCGGGAATGTTTTCTGATATTCTGGTGGGGAGGCACCCACAGGTTTTGAAAAAGGAGATGGGGAAGGGGATAATGAACCTGATACTTTACTGCCCCTCTTCAGCCCTTTCTTCTCTGCCGGTAGCAACCTCCTCCTACCAATTTGGCACTGAGAAGCAAGTGGGGGGGGGGGGGGGGGGGGGGGGGGGGAAGTAAGAGGACATAGTTGTCATGGCAACTTCTCACACTTCCATACTTCCTGGACCAATGGGAGAGAGAGCTGGAGGAAGGAGGAGGAACTGGACCGCGTATTGGGATGGCAAAGAAGAGGCGGCTCCGAATCCCTTTCTCTCATAACTTTCTGTTTTGTGTCCCTTTGTCTTGCTCCAGTGGGTTCCCAGATTCTACCATCATATGTTGGTTGCCAGCCAAATGCATGAAGGAGAAGCTCCCCTCCCCTCAGTCTCAGCCCTGACCCTTTCCAGGACTCATCTCCATCGGGTTGTATCCAAAATAAACCCTTCCAGGACCCACTGATGCCTTCAAACCACCGGGACAGCCTACAGGAGAGACTTAGTTCCACTCCTCCGACTGGGATCCTGTCTTTTTGGCTGAAAATTCTACATTTATGAGACAAAAGTCACGTTCGAACTCCGTGCAAATTTTGCCACTAGATTTGGCCGCGACATCCCCTTTCGGAATCAACTACGCAAGCATGGCTGCTCTAAGACCACACGAGGGCGCCCTAGACTTGGGAAAGATATTTTATGGCCAGAGGGACCCGAGTTCAGGCCTTGGCCAGATTCCAGCTGTCTCCTCACTGTCCCCAGTCCTTTCTTTGCCTCCGGCTTGGACAGGACTGCCACGGATTGCTGCCTTTTCGCACCACGCTGCACTTCCAAACAGACCTGCCAGGCTTGGAAGACCACAGGGGGTAGATCTGGGTCGGCTTGGGGCTCAAATTCTCCCCACCCCCAAAAATCTCCCCCAGCTTTTGAGTCCAGGGGAGTGGGGAAGAAAAGTGATCGGGGGTACCCAGGATGCCCTGAGGTATGACTTAAAGACTCCCTCTCTGTCAGCCTGATGGACCAGAAAGATACGAGCCAAAGACTACCCCCATGTCCATCCCAGGAATCCCGACTGCACAGGGAAGGAACTTTGGGCACAAGGGTGGCCCCATGGTACCTCCGCCCCGACCGCTCTTCAGCACCGCGGACAACGACTCCCCTTTTGGCTTCCCCTCACGCGTTTCAGAGCGTCCCAGCCTCTTGTCTCTTGCTGTAAGACAAGCCCTCCTCTGAAAGGAGATCTCCTGGTAGTGCTATTTCTATTTTCCAAGTCCTGTGTGGAGCTCTCTAGATCGAGGTTGCTGCTGCCGAAGAACACCATTCTTGATGCTTGTCAACATTGGACCTATTTTTCCTCGCGAGGTAGGCAGGCAGGAAGTAGTATTCTCCATTTTAGAGATGAGAAAACTAAGACCCAGAGACCAAAAGTAATAGAAAGCCCATTTCTGCACCTTCCAATACAAGTGCTTCCCCACCTTCACTCAATCTCTGATTTAAACAGCCAAGTGGGGAGGGGATGATTCCACTAAAAGAGAGAATCAATTAAAGCAGAAGCAAACACTGACTAATGTGATGCTAATGAGTGCCCTGGGGCCTTACTACTAGCAAGGATCCTGAGTTGGTGAGAACACAGTTCAAAGCAGAGCTGGACCTTTGGATTCCATCCCAGGCGGAGCCACATCTAGGGCACACCTGGAGCCTACTTGAGAGGAAGGGCCCTCCCTTCTAGGAGTCTCAGCATAGGAACTAGGATTTCCCCAGGGTCAATGAGTAGGGGAGACACTTTCTCAAGGCATTAGATCCTAGTTCTCTTCCCCACCGCCAAGTGTTAACCTCACTCCCCTCTGGACAGACAAGGATCATGGGCTCCTTCCACCTTCCCAGCTTGTTTCTGACAAGGAGACAGTCTCCCTCCTCCCTTTCACTGTTGGAGTTCCTGGGCAGGCTGCACAATGAGACAGAAAACACACACACACATGGAAATGTACACAAGGTGACACAGGCCCCCACACAAACACGTGGGTCTGCCTACCAAACCCAGGAATATGTGCGGGCACAGATGTACTCCCCACTGTGGGAGAGAGAGCATGCCTGGGCAGCAAAGTGGTTTGGGGAGGCTACACAGCACCTTCCAGGTCAAGAGCTTCTAACTCTGGGTCTGGAGTGGAAGCAAGAGGGGGTGTTTTCCTTCAAGACTGGGTGAAGTTCTGGGAGGGTTGTTGAAGATTTAAGGAGCTTCAGTTGAAAGAATGATCTGAGTACTTTTGCAGGGGGCAGGGCGGTGACCAAACACTAACCAAAGCCTCCCCGCAAGGGCCAGGTGCTGTTCCTGGGAGCCAGGCTGGGCGGCTGGACACTGAAGTCTCTCCTTGGGTCCACCTGGTCAGTTTGTGAAAAAGTTGGGGGGAAAGTGGTGGGCAGTAAAGGCCTCCTTCTGCACCGGGAACCCAGAGAGGCAGCAAGGGTAAGACACATCATAGACACTCGCAGATATTGCCACATGAAAGTACACAATCAGCACGAAAGGCCAAATATAATGTGCATAGTCTCACAATCACAAAGCACAATACAATCTACTTTAACAAATGCTTGCCCCAGGAGGTTCAGAGTCATAAGTCTTACAAAGAGACATACACCATGAAGTGAAGTCCTGACCATTCTGATAGTCTCACACAGAATCGCACACTCCAAGCACAGAATTGCACGTAAAACAGAGGCACATGGTCAAAACAACTTCATTTATACAGGGTCCTAACACAACGTCACTCAAACATCTGATAAGATCATACAATCGCACAGCCAACAAAATCACACTCACCCTGTCACCAAGCCTAGGGCACATGGCAACCAGCTGAAGGAGACCGTGCGTGCAGGCACACACATATACACACACAGGCACACACAAAGAATGACAGGCGCTCACGCACGTAACACCTCCCACTCCAGACACTCTCCTAGCTTTGTGTCACACACGCCCACACCTGCTGCTTCTCCCCACCTGCCCGCTAGTCCCCCCCCCAACCCCCAGGGGACCCAAGGCTCTGAACCCCCAGTGTCCTGCTGCCCAGAACAGCCTGGAGGGTGCCTGGGAATGGGGCAGAGTGTGAGCAAGGGCCTGGCCAGGGTCAGATAGGGTCTGGGGTTGGAATCTACCCTCCCTCCTGCAACCCCTGAGTCCCTGACTCACCTGTGAGCTGGTCATAGGATCCGTCCAGGTCTCGGGAATCGGACAAACTCTCCTTGCGGCCCTGGCCCCGCATGGCCCCCGGCGCCCCCGTCCCGTCCCGCTTGGGCCGTGGGAGGGGGCGCCGGGTAGCCAAAATAGGGTGCTCACACGGCGCCCCCTGGCGGCGTTGCACGCTGCCTGGGCTGGGGCTGAGTCTGGAATGGGCTGGGGTCCCGCCTGGGGTCCTGGGGCAGGAGCGGGAGGTTTGGGCAGTAGGTGAGCGCAGAGCCGGAGGCAGAGCCGAGCTAAGCACAGAGCTGGAGCCAAGCCGCCTCTCTCCTCCCGCCCCCTCCCCGCGGCTGTCACCGCCGCCTCCCCCCTTTGGCGCTGCCGGGATTGGCTCCCCCTACCCCCGCCCCCTCCTCTTAGCAGCTTGGGGGAGGATCCCGGTGAAAGGGTGAGCTGGGAAGGGCGGGGAGGGAGACTGGTTCTCCAGCAACATTACCCCCTAAACCTGGAGCTGTGGGTCCTGATGGTGGAAGATGGAGCAGGGCCCGAAAGGCCCCGCTGTGAGGAAACCCCTGCTCCAACCTTCAGGCACTCTTTCCCCCACCATCAGTACGGGCCAGGGGAAGTCTGTAAGTGCCCTGTCTGGGTCAGTCTCCACGTCAGCCCCTATTTTTTATGTTCTCCTCCCATGTATGGGTCTCTGTGGACCCCTGCCAGTGCCCGCTTTGCTCGGAGGGGGTTAGGGACTAAAAGCAAAGGTCAACCCAGCCTCTATCAGGCTCATCTCAGGTTAAAGGTTTCACATAAAGACTCCAACCCTCACCCACTGCAGAACCCGGTCTCTGGGCCCCATTCACTGTGAGGGTGCCTTCTTCTGGGATCTAATGACCCCCATTGGCCCACTGGAAAGAACAGGAAAACAGGCCGGTTTTTCAAGACTTTTCTGGTTCTTTTGTTCCCCCCCCCCTTTCAACTTTGCTGCCCTTCTCTTGTCACCTGCCCTGTCCTAGATTCCTTCTGTTTTCCAAATCTGAAGAGTGACTGAAGGGTGTGGGGACCCAGGTGAGGATACGGCGTGGGTAAGAAATGCCTTTGTTATTAGGCTTCCTTCCCTTAGAAGGATAAGCTCCTTTTCTGAAGCCGGGGGCCATCACAGAGCTGGGCTGCCTCCAGCTTCCAGGAACTGAGTGACTAAGCCTATTTGACCTTTTCCAGGCTCGTTACTGGACTCCTAGCCCAAGAGCCCCCAACCCACCAGAAGGAAGAAGGGACAGTGTCTAGTGGGTCTGGGTGGTGTGGTGGCAGTGTCCCGTGTATCCTCCTCTCTGCCCAATGGCTCCTCTGGAGGGATGACCTACTGAGACTGAAAGCTTCAGCTAAAGTGACCCCAGCACGTTTAATGTCTTCAATCGGATTTAATTTCCAAGCACTTGATTCAATTAACTCAGCAGGAATTGTGGTAGGAGTTCAGGCGTGAGAGGGGGATAAGCAGCTAAAAGAAGGATGGTCTTTGGGAGCAATGCCCTGCTTCTAGCTCTCTCCTGCTCTGGAGGGTCCTCCGGAGGACATAGCATAGCTGCTGGGGCATGGACAGACATGGGCAGCTCCTTTTGTGGTTGAATTCTAGGAGATGATGGGATTCCCATTTGGAGTTCTTAGAACAGGTATATGTAAATGGGCCAAGAGATGGGCTTCTACAATGGAAGACAAGGAGTCCTTCACTACTGCTTCATGCCCTTGTTCATTTCATAGGCAAGGAATCCATAAACAATGAAGGCAAGGGAGGCTACACCTGTCTGAACCTAAGTGGCTTCTACTAGAGCCAGGAGACTTAGGAGGAGAGTGAGGATAGGTAAGGGTCCCCTAGCCAAATGGGAGCAGCACCTGGGAGATCACCTTAACCCCGTCTTTTGGAAATGAGTTCTGAGTTAACAGAGATGAAGAAAAACAAACAAAAGACACTAAAAAGACTCCCATACAAATCAGTTTTTAATAACTCCAACTCGCTACCAGCTTCCAGCTTCAACTCCTCTGGGGTTTATCACTGTGGAGAACACTAAATGCCCCAGGCTGAGCTACCCATCTAGTGATCAGATGACCCAGCCCCTGATCTCTTAGGAATCTGCATCTATACATGGCAGCATGCTGGTGGATCCTCTGGAACTAGTGCACATCTGCTCAATGTTGGAGCCAGAACTCTGTGCCCAGGGAAGGCAAGTATCCTAAAGAGATTTGAAGCTAAGTGGAATAGCAGCCAGGGAGGTCCCAGACCTGCTGTCACTGCTGGTTTCATGCCCTTACTCCCAGAGTCTTCTTATGGTGCTTGTGTCCTGCCAGCCTGAGAGCTTTAGAAAGTGCTTTAGAAGGTGGGAGTGGGGGGGGGGGGG